CTTTTTTTTTTTTTTTTTTTTTTTACAAAGTTAATTTTTTGGTTGTTAAACCTGATTCCTGATTTACTGATTTTTTTTTTAATGTTTATTTATTTTTGAGAGAGAGAGAGAGAGCGCACATGCACAGGAGGGGCAGACAGAGAGGGAGACACAGAATCCAAAGCAGATTCCAGGCTCTGAGCTGTCAGCACAGCAGAGCCCCACGAGGGGCTCGAACCCACGAACCATGAAATCATGACCTGAGCTGAAGTTGGACACTTAACTGACTAAGCCACCCAGGTGTCCCTAAAGACTATCTTTCTAGCACTTCTACTGTTACTGCTCTAAAGAGAAAGCTTTCAAAATGTACATACTTACTCTTAATCGAGGACATCTGGATTTGGCCAATACTCCCATAAATATGTCAGGGGCATTAAATTCTTGGAGAAATAAAGCCACATCCTGAAAATTAAAAAGTGAGTATTAATTTGGATGCTGAATAGTCCTTTTTAAATCCCATAGTACAGACAAACATAAAAAAAAAATAATTCTATGTGTAACTCCTTTCAGGCTCAAGGAAAAAAGCCATAGGTTAGGAACTGTATCATTATGCAAAAGTAGCGTTCAAGAGTCTTTGTGCTATCTGGTCCCAAGGCAATGGAATAAATCCACAAACAAATCTAAACTGTGATATTCCAGGGGATTGTCTTCTTTTTCTGCCCTAAATGTATTTACCTTAATGATCTTTCTATCTACCAGCAATGTTCATTAACTCATTCAAACACATTTGCTGATTGCCAGGTATCTTGATAGACGGTGAGGTAAGGAAAAAGAGTAAAACTCATTAACTAGTGTCTTCTAAGAGCTTAAAACACAATGGGGGAAACAGGTAAAAACTCCTACTGGGTCATGCCCCAAATGAGAATTTGTGTTTTCAAAATTCTCAACAGAAAATAATTCTGATCACGATGTAACTACTACAGCTTCATACCTCCTTCCTAGAGTCTGCCCAGGCCACACTGCCAAGAGGGACACACCATACCGGTGAATGAACCTGGAGTGGACATGTGACCCAATCTTGCATGTTCCAAGACTGAATCAGCTTGCTGTGGATGTCTGTGTTGCACAATATTTAAACAAAATTAAGTTTCTGGTGGTCTATTGCCTTAGATTTTCACCAAACTTGAAGTGTATATTTGCGATAGCTTAACTTAAAACCCAGGCTATGGTGAAAAAGCTCTTCAAAGGGACTTGGAGGCACCTCAAAGAGAGAGGCAGTAATCCTTCATAGCAGCTGAAACCAAGGTAACCTGCATGACTATTGACTGGAAGCGACATCCTATAATTATTAAGAGAGCACAGTCAGAGAAAACAGTATTTTCAAAGATACACTCCAAACTGAAAGTCACAGCAACAGATGCTCCCCACTCTAAGTGTTTAAAGTGCTGTTTGTCACGTGGCCAACTCTTAGGGCATGCAGGGACTGATTTATTTAATGACAGTTAATAATTCCTAGGGTAGCAAAGAGTTAGGTGACCTAACAATATCAACAGCAATAATAATAATAATAATAATAATAATAATAATGGCAATTTACATTTATTGAGCAAGTTGTAAATACCAAGTACAGTGAAGTGGTTTGCACACTATCTCATTTAATTCTCAAAACCCTATGAAGTAGTCATTATTATTGGCCCCATTCCACTAATAAACAGGTTTTATAAGGTTAAGCAACCTGCCCAAGATTATACAATCAGTAGAACAGATCCAGAAGAACAGAATCCAGATGAGTGTGACTGCCATACTCTTAACCAGCACACCAATGCTACCTCTCAGCTATTCATTCATTCACTCACTCATGCATTCATTCATTCACTCTTCACCAAGTATTTACTGAAAAACACAAGTAACAGGCACTATTTGAGGCTCTGGGGGACACAACAGTGAACAAGCTAGATAAGTTCCCAGTCTCATGGAGTTTTTATTCTAGAAAGATAAATAAACAATAAACACATAAACAACTGAACTACATAATTTCTAAGTGCTACAAATAAGATTAACAAGATAGTATGTGCTAGAAGCCAAGATGGGAGGGGACTACTTCAGATGTATCAGAGAAAAGTACCTCTAAAGAGGAGACATTAAGCTTTTAAGAAAAGGAACTTAATCTATCAGAGGACACAAAGGCCAAATAACAAGGTAAGTGTTATGCAACAGAGTGAACAGGTTTCATGAGAGCCCAGAAGAGACGAATTCTGTTTGGAGTGTCTGTGGAGGTGTCACAGAGAGGTGACATTTAGGCTGGGTCATATAAGATGAGAAAGATTTTGCTGGCTGGAGGCCATTCCAGGCAGACAGTGGCATGAACAGAGCATGAACACATGAAAACGCAGAAAGCATCTGCAAGTCTCTGGTCCTGCTCAAACGCTAACGGTAGGGGATAAGGCTGTGACACTGGAAGGACCTTATACCAGTTATTGGTGGACAGCTCAGTTCTCTAGCAGTGCTTCAAGAGCTATCCTAAGAAGGTGAAAAGGAGGCCAAGAACATGACCCTCCCTTCCACCAACAATCTTTTCCAAAGAGCAGCTCTGTTTTACCTATTATGTATTTGAGGATTTCGCATTAAGATTTCATTTTAAAAAATGGGTTCTAGCTCTTAAAAAACTATTTTTTAAAAATCATAGCTTCTGGGGCACCTGGGTGGCGCAGTCAGTTAAGCGTCCGACTTCAGCCAGGTCACGATCTCGCGGTCCGGGAGTTCGAGCCCCGCGTCAGGCTCTGGGCTGATGGCTCGGAGCCTGGAGCCTGTTTCCGATTCTGTGTCTCCCTCTCTCTCTGCCCCTCCCCCGTTCATGCTCTGTCTCTCTCTGTCCGAAAAATAAATTAAAAAACGTTGAAAAAAAATTTTTTTTTAAATCATAGCTTCTCAATAATTGTAGAGCAAGTAGAAAAAAAGACTTGACCAATACTCTCAACCAACTTGATCCAACTGACATTTATAGTACACTCTACCCTGCAACAGCAAAATACACATTCGTTTTAAGTGAACATGGAACATTTACCAAGATAGATCACATTTTGAGCTATAAAACAAGTCTAAATATATTTTTAAAAAGACGCAGAGTGTTCACTGACTCCAGTAACAGATAAATAACTGAAAACCCCCAAATATTTGAAATCTAGACAATGTACTGCTAAATAACTCAGCAGCTGAAGAAGAATTAAAGGAAAGTTAGAACTAAACTAAATGAAGAGGAAACCCCAACATATCAGAATCTGTTGGATACTGCCAAAGCAATAGTTAGAGGAAAATTTATAGTGTTATACACCTATATTAAAAAAGAAGAATGGTCTCAAATCAAATGACCTCAGCTTCCACCTTGAGAAATTAAAAAAGAACAACAAATTAAACCAGAGTAAATAGAGGAAAATAAAAAAGGGCAAATTAGAAATCAATGAAATAGAAGACAGGAAAGCAACAGAGAAAATCAACAAAACAAAGCCTTTAGGGAAATCAATAAATTAAACTTCCAGCCAGAATGATGAGGGGAAAAAGACAGAAGACACAAATTACTAAGATCAGGAATGAAGAGAGGTGCCATCACTACAGATGCTACAGATAATTAAATAACAATAACATAATACTTTGAACAACTTTACACCAATAAACTTGACAACTTAGATAAAATGGATAAATTCCCTGAAGAACATAAACTACCAAAGTAACCTGAATAGCCTTATACCTATTTAAAGGAATTGAATTTAAAATCTTTCCTACAATATACTAAAAACCACTAAATGGTGAATTTTATGGTAGTGAGTTATATCTTAATGAAACTGTTGTTTAAAAAAAAAACTTATTTTTTTTAAAGTAGTAAATACACAAAACTAAAAGTAAACAAACAACAAAAAACGAAAACTCCAAGCTCAGATGACTTCACTGGTGAATTCCACCAAATATTTAAGGAAGAAATACTATTAATTCTGCACAAACTCTTTCTGGAAAACGAAGAGGGAAAAGTTCCCACTCCATGAGGACAGCATTACCTTGGTACCAAAACCAGACAATGACAAGAAAACGAGTATCTCTCATGAAGATAGATAAACTTTCTAAGCAAGATTTTAGCACCTTGAAAATCAATCAACTCAGTACACCATATTAACAAACTAAAAAGAAAAACTACGTGATCATCTCAACTGACTTATCAAAAGTGTAACACAATACATAATCCATTCCTGATAAAGACTCTAGGCATACTACGGAAAGAAGGGGACTTTCTTAATCTGTAACTACATCATACTTAGTGGTGGAAGACCAGGTGTTCTGCCACCATATTAGGAACAAGAAGATGCCCCCCCTTACCACTTCTAGTCAACTTCATACTGGAGGTTCTGGCCAGAGTAAATGTAAGAAAAAGAAATAAAAGCAATTCAAATTGAAAAAGTAGTAAAACTTCTCTTCATAAATGAAAAACGGCTGCAGGATATGACACACAAAATCAACCATATTTCTAAATACCAGGAATGAACAGATATTGAAATTTTTAAAAATACCATTTACAATAGTATCCAAAAATATGAAATACTTGGGAATAAATTTGAGAAAAGATGTGACATACCTATACACGAAAAACTATAAAACTTTGCTGAAATTAGAGAGAACCTAAATAAATGGAAAGATATACCTGTTCAATTTATCAATCCTTCCCCCAAATGATCTATAAATTCAACACAATCTCAGCCAAAATCCTAGCAGGCATTTTGTAGAAACTGACAAACTGATTCTAAAATTAGTATGGTGGGCGCCTAGATGGCTCAGTCCTCCTCCAAATTCGGCTCAGGTCATGATCTCATGGTTCTTGAGTTCAAGCCCCACGTCAGGTTCTGTGCTGACAGCTCAGAGCCTGGAGCCTGCTTTAGATTCTGTCTCTCTCTCTCTCTCTCTGCCTCTCCCTCACACTTGCGTGCACACTCAGGCGCTCTCCCTCTCTCTCTCTCAAAATAAATAAACATTAAAAAAAAATTTTTTTAGTGAAAGGCGAAAGATTTATGCAATTTGAAGAGAAACCAGAGCATAAAAAAAAATTTTTTTTAAATAGTAAAATTAGTATGGAAATACAAAGGACCCAGGACAACCACAACAACTCTGAGAAAGAACAAAGTTGGAAGATTAACACTACCTGATTTCAAGATTTATTATAAATCAACAAAAATCAAAACAGAATTAAGACAGATAAATAGATCAATGAAACAGAAGAGTGCATCCAAAAATAGGCTCACATGTACATACAGATAACTGATTTTTGACAAAGGTACAAAGGCAATTCAGTGGGGAAAGGACGGTCTTTTTAAAAAATGAGCTTGAACAACTGGTCATCCATATGCAAAGAAAGTAAACTTCAATCCATACTTTGCATCACATGCAAAAATTAACTCAAAATGGATCACAGACCTACCAGTAAAACCTAAAGTTATAAAACTTTCAGAAAAAAATAAAAACAACTAAGAAAACAACACAAAGAGTGGGCAAAAGATTCAAACAGGCACCAAAAGATACACAGACTGCAGATAAACACATGAAAATATTGTCAACATTATTAGTAATTAGCGAAATCCAAATCACAATCACAATGAGAATCACTACACACTTACTAGAATGGCTAAAATCAAAAGACTGACATCAAGTGTTGGTGAGGAAGAGGAGAAAGTGGAACTGTATCTCATACACTGCTTATGATAATGTAAAATATAAACCACTTTGTAAAATACACATTTTTTTACACAATCTGTAAAAAACACAATTCAGACTTTTTCTTAAAAAGTTAAACAGACACCTACCATACGACTCATATTACTCTAGATATTTAGCCGAGAGGAAGGAAAACACATGTCCATAACATACTTATACACAAAAATTCAGCTTTAACTATAATAAACTACAAACAACTCAAATATCCATCAACCGAGAAATAAATGAATAAATCATGATATCACATAAAATGAAATAACACTCAGCAATAAAAAAATAATATACTACTGAAAGACACAAAATGCATGAATCTTAAAACAATGATGCTGAATGAAAGAGCCAGACCCCTCCAAAAAAAAGGGGTCCCATTTATGTAACACCAGAAAATGCAAATTGCTCTGAAGTGAGAATGACTATCAGTGGTTGCCCGGAGAGGGTGGAGGCTGGGAAGGGCAAGAAGAAGGGATTACAAACAGACAAAGAAACTTTTGGGGGTGAGAGATATGTTCTCTCTTTTTTTTTATTTACAAAATTTTTTTTTAATGTTTATTAATTTTGAGACAGAGAGAGAAACAGCATGAACGGCGGATGGTCAGAGAGAGGGAGACACAGAATCTGAAGCACGCTCTAGGCTCTGAGCTGTCAGCACAGAGCCCAAAGCGGGGCTCGAACTCACAGACTGTGAGATCATGACCTGAGCCGAGGTCGGACGCTCAACCAAGTGAGCCACCCAGGCGCCCCTAGATAGATCTCTTTCTTAATTACAGTGATGGCTTCATGCACGTATACACATCAAAATTGTTCAAATTATGCACTTTAAATATGAACAATTTCTGTACATCAATTACACCTCAAGAATACACACGTTTTTTGGTGTCAATTATACCTCAATAAAAATGTATCAAAAAAACAGCTGAAGATAACGAACAGCCATGGACAATTTTTAAGACAGAACACAATTAAATCTGTGTTTAGGAAAAAGAGAGCTTTCATGGCAATGTGGAGGACAGAGGGAAGTAAAAAGACCAGAACAAGGATTTTAATCAGGAAGCTAGTGGAAAAGTCCAAGTAATTAAGTGAGAGATTATGTATGTCCATCTCTTTTCGCCTTTTTTTTTTTTTTAGTGTTTGTTTATTTTTAGAGCGTGTGTACACGGGCAGAGAGAGAGGGAGACAAAGAATCCCAAGCAGGCTCTGCGCTGTCAGCACAGAGCCCAGCTTAGGGATGGATCCCACAAACTGCAAGATCATGACCTGAGCCAAAATGAAGAGTCAGACACTAAACCAACTGAGTCACCCAGGCAACCCTCACCTCTCTTCTTACCTGCAAGATAAGGGTACTACCTGTATCACAGGGTTATTGTGAAAAACAAATGGAATAATACATATGAAAATGCCACTGAGCTACAGAGTACAATGCAAATGTTAAAATGTTATTTTGCAATTTATACACACATGGTTCCCTCTTGTCCCTTTCTAATTTAATTATGGTACATCAGTGGTCTCCTACACAAGGTCAGCATTCTCTTTACATAGATAAGTATCAGAACTTTCCTGGACTACAAGCATTCCTGCAGCATTCATGAGAACTATATATTTAGCCCCAATCTAGTGACAGCTCAGATTCTCTACCCTCCAAGACAAAAGTTTAGCATTTACAGCTCATTCCCTGTACCATATGACTACAGACACTAAAGTGTTTCCCCAGAGACTTAAGGACTGAAACTTAAAAAAAAAAAAATCCATTCACCATCTCCTTCCCCAACAGTCTTTTCGGTTTCATTTCCAACCCCATACCTCATCCATGGACATATCCCAGACTCTGCAAATTTCATTCTCCATTTCTTCATCGAGCTCCATCTGCTGCTCCTCCTCGTCTGAGCTGGATTTGGTGTTTTCAGGGCTAACCATCTTCAACACAAAGGAAGAAAAGACATGGATAAAAGCTGCCCGTAGTACTCATCAAGTAATATTATCCTATAATCACTCACAAGTCACGAAGGCACTGTCCTCAATGTATCTTCTCTTGCAGAAACCTTGTTTAAAAAAAATTACTACCTGGGCACCTGGGTGGCTCAGTCAGCTAAGCGTCTGACTTTGGCTCAGGTCACGATCGCACGGTTCATGGGTTCGAGCCTTGCATCAGGATCTGTGCTGACAGCTCAGAGCCTGGAGCCTGTTTCAGATTCTGTGTCTCCCTCTCTCTCTGCCCCTCCCCCACTTGCGCTCTGTCTCCCTCTGTCTCAAAAATAAACATTTTTTAAAAAATTTAAAAAAATTACTACCTTGGGTAGACCAACGTTCATCTAACATTCGTGGAGTAAATACTGTTACGAGGCACTGGGGTAGAAATACACAAATGAATACATTTAAGCCCTTGCTTTCAAGCAGTTTAGGCCCTAGAGAGGAAAACACATGTAAACTAATAATCACAGCAAAAGACTATGGGAGTCGAGTGAATTGTGGGCAGAGTTGTGAAAGCAAAACAATGGACCAATGACCTATGCCTGGAGAGTTTGGGCAAACTTCTCCTAGGAAGTAATCTTTAAGCTAAACCTCTGAGGGAGAACAGGAGTTTGTTTGTGAAGAGGGGGAAAAGAATATACCTAAGAAAGTGCAAGAGTTCAGATTTAAGAAAACGGCCTGGCAATGTTTGGGGAATGGTGAGTAGTTGAGTGTGTTATGGGCAGATGTGTCTGGGAAGGTTGCAAAGCTGTATTGCAAGCTAAGAAATATGCATTTTTCTCCTGCAGGCAAAGGAAACTAAAAGGAGTTCCCAAAAACATTTTGAGGTTTTTTTTCTTTGGTTGGTTTGTTTAAGGACGATTATTCTGGCAACTAGACAGAAGATGCACTGGAGAGGGCAGAGACTGGAAGAAGTCAGTGAAACGTGGGAGAAGAAAGTTCACATGTACTGAGAGCTTCTACAAGCCAAACACTACGGTAAGCATTCTGTGCCCACGATAATCTTATTTAACCTACCCAATAACGCTGTATACAATAACAAAGGTATTTTCATCCCACTTTATAGAAATTGAGAAAGAAACCGAGGCTCTGAACGGTTAGGTGACTTGCCCAAAACAGGTGCCAAAGCCACGCTATTGGTATCAGAGCTGAAGGACTTCCAAATCACCATTTATTCTTCTACAACAAACGTCCACGAAATAAACTGGGCCCTAGGCTTCAGAAACGACACTGGGAATGGAGAGCAAAAACACGAGCAATGTATGTACGTGGTCAGACATTTTCGGAGAATTTGTAAAAGCAAAATATTTTTTTTTTATTTTTTTTTAAGTTTACTTATTTTTGAGACAGAGAGAGACAGAGCATGAACGGGGAGGGGCAGAGAGAGAGGGAGACACAGAACTGGAAGCAGGCTCCAGGCTCCCAGCCATCAGCCCAGAGCCCGACGCGGGGCTCGAACTCACGAACCGCGAGATCGTGACCTGAGCCGAAGTCGGGCGCTTAACCGACTGAGCCACCCAGGCGCCCCAAAAGTAAAGTATTTTAACCGTAGGCATTCTAGTCTCCCTGTCACTTATCTCCCGTTGTGTTGAGAGGTACTGGGAAAGGCTCCCGAAGTTTTGGGGTCCGCAGAGGCGGCCAGGACTCTAAGCGCGAGGCCTCGAGAAGGGTCGTCGGGGTGGGGGAGGGGATGGCGGCTCCGGGGGCCCGAGGGGGCTGCCAGAGGCGTGGACGAAGGGCTGGGGCAAAGGGAGGGAGCCCACGCGAGGCGAGACGTTCCACACCTGAATGAGTCCGCTGAGGACACCGAAGAGCCAGTGCTTGCTGTAGACCGTGCTCCCTATGCAGTCTCCCCCAGCACCCTCCTCCTCCTCCTCATCCCGACTGGGCAGCGGCGGCGAAGGGTTGCGGTCCATGACTTCCCCGCCACTCGCCCTGAGGAGCCGCGCCGGAAGCCGCCGGAGGAGGCGATAGGCCTGCTGGCGCCAGAGGGCCCGGCACGCCCGGTGCGGCTCCCGCTACAGCGCCCTCTGCTGCCCGGAGCCCTGCCGGCCTGAGTACCTGCTCTGTGCCCACAGGCTTGGGAACCCAGATGACTTAATCTCCAACGACCCCACCCTTTCTGGGACCCAACCGCGTTCATATTCATAACTGTTATTTGCCAGTTTCAGCGGACCAGATATTCCACCTCCCCAGGAGCTCTTAGCCAGATTGGAAGGGACAGGCAATGGGGGACAGCGGTCTCTGGTACAGACATGAATCTCGAAGCTGTCGTAGACCCCCTGATCTCTGGGCACCATTGACATTCTTAAAGACATCAGGCGCTCATTCTTCTCCCAGGTGTGGTTGGAATCCTGGGAAAGATATAAGTTACCAGGAAGATCGTCAACACTACAACTCCGTGTATTTTCAGTTCGTGTTTCTATTTAGTTCGATGGTATTCAACCTCAGACCCAACGCTACTACCCCCACCCTGCAATAAATATTTTCCCATATCTACTTTACTTTGATGAAAGACGTTTATAGATGATATTATCTACCTCAACATGTAATTTCAAAAATATTAATATCATTCCCTCACATAAAGGAAAAATAAAATTAATTTAAAATTATGTATTTTAATGGGGCGCCTGGGTGGCGCAGTCGGTTAAGCGTCCGACTTCAGCCAGGTCACGATCTCGCGGTCCGTGAGTTCGAGCCCCGCGTCAGGCTCTGGGCTGATGGCTCAGAGCCTGGAGCCTGTTTCCGATTCTGTTGTCTCCCTCTCTCTCTGCCCCTCCCCCGTTCATGCTCTGTCTCTCTCTGTCCCAAAATAAATAAACGTTGAAAAAAAAAATTAAAAAAAAAATTATGTATTTTAAGATTTTTAAATTAATGATTCCCTAAACGAAATAGAATTAATTTAAAATACAACGACACGTATTTTAATATTTTAAATACTAGAAGACATAATAGAAGTCTCCAGTGTTAGCACAGCTACATCAAATCACTGTGAACCCACCAGTTAGATATGCAGAATGACAGAGGTGTTATTCCATCAGAGACTGTGCTTCTCTCTCTTTTTCTTTTTAATGTTTTATTTATTTTTGAAGGAGAGAGAGACCGAGCGTGAGCAGGGGAGGAGCAGAGAGAGAGGGAGACATAGAATCTGAAGCAGGCTCCAGGCTCTGAGCTGTCAGCACAGAGCCCGACGTGGGGCTCGAACTCACAAACTGGGAGATCATGACCTGAGCCAAAGTCGGACGCTTAGCGACTGAGCCACCCAGGCGCCCCCAGACTGTGCTTCTCAAAATCATACACAAAGAATGATAAAATTTCTACCAAAACGAAGTTCCAGCTTACATAGCAATTGCACTTCCAGAAAATTCTAAGGTATATTAAAACTGGACAAAAAATAATCCATGCTGGGGTGCATGGGTGGCTCAGTCGGTTAAGCATCTGACTGGCTCAGGTCATGATCTCGCTGGGTTTGTGAGTTCGAGCCCCACATCGGGCTCTGTGCTAACAGCTCAGAGCCTGGAGCCTCCTTCAGATTCTGTGTCTACTCCTCTCTCTGTCCCTCCCATGCTCATGCTCTGTTCTCTTTCTGTCTCTCAATAATAAATAAACGTTTAAAAAAATTTTTTTAAACCTCTATATTAACATGTAAAATACAGTTGGATCCCAGGTTCAAATAATTACAAACATTTTTTTCACTGTGTGTGTAGGTAAAGGCAGACCCAGGTTTTGTGGGGCCTGAATTATGCAATTTGGGAAGCCTCCTTTAGGAAGAACAATATAAAATTACAAATATTAAATTAGTTACAATAGGAAATATTTATTTAGAATAGGAAAAAAGTGATCAATTTTAAATAGCCAAATAATATTTAAAACATCACAAAAAAAGGGGCACCTGAGTGGCTCAGTCGGTTAAGCATCGACTTCAGCTGAGGTCATGATCGCTCAGTCTGCGAGTTTGAGCCCTGTGTCGGGCTCTGTGCTGTCAGCAAAGAGCCTGGAACCTGCTTCAGATTCTGTGTCTCCCTCTCTCTCTGCCTCCCCTCCACTCACTCTCTGTCTCTCAAACATGAATAAACGTTAAAAAACTTTTTTTAAATAAATAAAACATCACAAAATCCAGAAAAATATCCAAATATTTTGTATTAATAAACAGACCAACACACTTCTACAATCCTTTTTCTTTCTTTTAGTAGATTTATTTTTAGGGCAGTTCTAGGTGCACAACAATATTAAGAGCAGAAGGTACAGAAATTTCCCATATAAACTGACGTCATGCATAGCTTCCTCATTATCGGCATTCCCACCAGACTGGAATATTTGATACACTTGATGAATCTATACTGGCACATCATTATCACCCAGAGTGTACCTTAGGGTTCATTCTTGGTATTGTACACTGTATGGGTTTGGGCAAATTTATAATAATGTATATCCACCTTTATTGCACCATGCTCTAAAAACCCTCTGAGCTTTGCATGTTTACAACAATTTTATTAAAATTTTGTATGTTTATTTTTTTGAGAGAGAGAGAAAGAATACGCAAGCAGGGGAGGGGCAGGGAGAAGGAGGAACAGAATCCCATGCAGGCTCCACATCATCAGCACAGAGCCTGATGTGGGGCTTGAACTCATGAACCACGAGATCATGATCTGAGCCAAGACCAAGAGTCAGACACTTAACCAACTGAGCCACCAGGCACCCTTACAACATTTTTAATATAGTGTTTTCTGAGTTATCTTTGATCTTCTCTTTATATGACAATGACTTCGTAAGATAATTTTTTATAATGACAAATAAAAAGATAATTCTGCCTTTAATTATACTTGGAAGTAGCTGAAAACCACATAAATAGGGATGCCTGGGTGGCTCAGTCAGTTAAGCATCTGACTCTTGATTTTAGCTCAGGTAATGATCTCCTGGTTAGAGAGACCTAGTCCCACATCATGTTGACAACACCAAGTTTGCTTGGGATTCTCTCTCTCTCTCAATCTCTGCCCTTCCCCCCAGTCATGCAAACACATGCACTCTCTTTCTTTCTCTCTCTCTAAATAAATAAACATTTTTTTTTAAATATCACAGAAATATGTCTCACTAAATGCAAACAACTTCTACTTCCAATTCAACTTCTTCTTAGTTGGATCCCCAAAATGCCTGTGCCCACTCCAGTCCCACTCAACACAAGAGGAAAAGTGATGGTAGAATGCTGGCATGAACACAGAGGCATTAACTGCTTCAGTTAAAATGTTTCACTTCTGCAGATTTTACAAAGTAATTGACCATATGAATCCTTTCCAAGGGCATCTCCATGGGTCTTGGAATAGTTCTGTAGAAGTGAAGAGACTTTGAAGCGGAAGCTTCATCAGATTCACAGTAAATGTGACTCTGTCTAAATACATGTCTGATAGGACACTGCAGAGGTCAAGCAAGACTCAGGATGATTCTCTGTTGGCAGCACTGTTCTATACATCCTAAGCTGTGTGTAATTCTGGCCCATCCGGCAATGACCTCCAATCACACGTCAAGCAAAAGTATCCGCAGATATACCCAAAAGCTAGGGTGGGGATGGCTGCAGCACTGGCCTGTTGAAAACAAGGGTTCAGAACTTTCTCTGGCCAGGGCCTGACCTGTAGGGTCAATATATAGTCTGCATTGTATGCTCCCTATTTTGGGCATATATTTTACTCGAAATTAGTATTATGGTTTTTTAGTGCCTTATCTCCTTGGAAAAAAAGTGATAAGGTAAATTGATCATCTTCGTGGCATTAAAGGGACCCAAAAGGCTGTCATTTGATGTTTCCACATGACAATGACAAATTGGATTTCACAACCATTTATTAATGCTTCTATGTGCTTTTTATAAAGTATGTTGTAGGAGGGAATATAGAATTCGGTAATTATACTTAGGAACTATTCCCGCCCTCAGGGGGCTCTCAGCCCCTCTCCTGAGTGCAGAGCAAAGAGGAAGCTCAGTACTTTCTAGGCAGGCCAGCAGGTCGAAAGTGGTTGGGGTCTTTGCCGCTCCGGCCCCATTCATTGGCGGCCTGGTCAGCCTTCGAGTCCTCTGCTCCGCGGCCGCTGCTTCCGTGCCTGAAAAAGTCTGTGACTCTCTGAGAATTCTCTCTGGCATTGCTGGAATGGAGGAAGGCAGGTAGGAGATTAATTAGGGGGCTGAGGAGCAATTGCCCATAACTCCCATCTCTCTTCTTTGCAAGGGAGGGCTGCTAACAGGAGCCAAGGAAAGAGGGGCTAAAACACTGACACCCTGGCCCAGAAACAGAGCATCTCAGCCCAGGCTGATCCCTTACTGGGAGAACAGCACCCATAGGGGGAGGATCGGGAATCACCCATTCGTCCTGGCCTCGCTCTGACTCCATCAGCCACTCACGCCAACACTGGGCGCAGAGGGGA